TTAACATTTTGTCTTGGCTAGCATTGAAACAATAACATAAAGATGTTAATCTAACAGCTGTTTAACACTCTGCCAGGCTTAACATTGAACAATGACATAAAGATGTTAACTTAGCAGCTATTTAAAAATCTGTCATGAAACGATGTTAACTTAACAGCTGTTTAACAGGCAGCCTTCCTTAACATTCCCACAATTAACAAATTCTTTATGAAAATTTTCAAATTCGCTCCACTGTGCCGTGTCGATTGCACATTCGCTGATTCTGTTGCTTCTAACTGTCTGGCTCGTTGTCTTTTGTGTGTGTGTGTAACTGTGTGTGTGTGTGTGTGTGTATGGGTATGTGTATATTTGAGCGATCGACCATGAAGCCTTCATTATTGCATTTCAATTTCATGATTTTGCGGTTCTTTATGCTTGCTCCTTCACATTCACATTCGGAACGAGGAAACGGCATGCGGCAAGCTGCATGCGGCATGCGGCATGCGGCAGCTGCTGATGCTGGTGCTGGTGCTGGTCATGCTGCCATGGCTGGCATGGCATGTGTTTTGGCCAGGCCCAAACTGTTGTCGACACTTTCACAACATCAACGAGCAGAGCAGAGCAGAGCAGAGCACAGAATGAGAGCCAGTCGAGGCAACGGAGCCCATCAGCCAAGCGTGTGAAATGGCAGAAGGAGTGAAGCAGGCAAAGTTTAGACCTCTGCTCTAGTTGAAGCCACTGCAACCAGTTGTCTCTATCTCTCTCTATCTCTCTGTCTCTCTCTCTTTCAGTGTGTCCATTCAAATTTCCAATATTTTGTGCATGTGTGTGTGTGTGGTCGTTATCACGCATTTCCTGCCATTTGCATCAGCATATCGACACATCGAACAGAGTGAGTCGCACTCGAAAATCGACTTCAATTGCTGCTTCGAGCAGCAGTTGCTTAGTGCGTGTGTGCGTGCGTGTATGCGTCTGTGCGTGTGTGAAGCCGATTGGGGCTTTCTGGTTTCCTTTTGGCTAAAGCAACCGACTTGACCAATTTGCCAGTTTTGCGGTCATATCGGATGTTGAGCGAATTATGGGGCCAAGCAGCAGCAGCAGCAGCAGCTCGTGAATGTGTCAGGCAAAGCGAAAGCCAAAGCCAAAGCCAAAGCCAAAGCCAAATGCCATCAAATGATCTTGTGCAAAAAAAAGGTGTGCGTGTGTGTGTTTGTATGTGATATGTAAGGATAAGGGCTAACAGGTGCTTGAGCCAACTCCAGCAAATGGTTTTCTTCTTTTTTTTTTTTTTTTTTTTGGGTCCCTCCTCCTTTTTAGATATAACTGAATCGACTCAAAGTTAAATGCTCAATTGAAAGCACTTCAAGCAGTTGAAGCAACAGCTAAGCTCCGCCCGCCGCCGCGCTCGCCCACACACTCAATGGCCAACCTGATTGCCACAACTAAGCCAGCTGAGAGGGCAAGCTATTTAAAGCTGATATATGCGTGAGTGAGAACTGAATTTGCGACAGTGGCCAATGGCCGGGTCAAAATTGATGCTGCTCTTGATAAGTATATTACGATCTATATCAGGCAGAGCAGTTGCTTAAGTTTTTTATCTGATATGAATCTGCTATGCGTGATATAGAGCGAAATATACTTATCAAGAGCAGCATCATGAGTATTGAAGTATTTAGTTATGATTGTGAATCAGTTTAAGTATAAAAAATTGAATATCATATGATTAATTTAAGCTACTATCGATTAATCATTAATCAAATGATTTTACATTGCTCAAAAATAGATACAGTAGAGTCCGGCTATAACGATTCTCAAGGGAGTACTCGGAGAACGCTATAGTCGAAGGGAGGTCCTTTCATAAAAGTTTGTATGAGGATCAGTAAAGACGTAAAAACGTGGAACGCAATAACCGGAAGAACGCTTTAAGCGGAGTCGTTATAGCCAGATGCTACTGCATATTGAGAGAAAATGCGCTCTGCTGGCTCTGAAGTGCCTGGTGCTTGTCCGTGGGAAAACTCTATAGATTGATGCGATTACTTTTTGGAATAATCGATTATGGTTTTAGTTAATTGCGATACAATTCACTCGCCAATGGAAGCAAAATAATCGGCTACAGTTGTCATATGATTAATAGTGCCATCACTAGTTAAGTAAGCTCAGCTATAATTATGTAATGGGAGCTACGCTTTGAACTGGCTAAATGGAGGTGCAGAAGCATTGGCTCTAAAGCCAGCAAGCAGATGGAGCTTGATATGAAGTGTGGAGTGAAGAAAAGAGTTGATATTCATATTGATTCGAGATTTCTTTGTAGTTACATATGTTGAACAGTGCGTAGCTCATCGAATCAGGAAGTAAATCTCAAATGTTTCGCTCTTGTCTTCTTCTGTTCTCTCTCCTTCTCTCCTTCTACATTCCTAGCACTATGAATGGAAGTATGTATGTCTATAAAGTACGACCACAACCTCAAAACAGTGGCAGCAGGAGGCCGTCAGCAGCATGTTTATGCTTGACCAGTATGCCCCACCGATTAGATACTCGCATTCATCTGCGATATTAGAAGCTGCAGCTCACAAGTTCCATCAATTGATGCGAATGCCCATACTTTTACCCCAGGTGCATAGCTGAACAGAATTTCTCTCTTGGCAATTGTTGTTGCCAACGTAAGACCACATGGTGTTTCACACTCTGTTCCATTCATCGTTCCACTTGCTGCTCTACAACAAATGCTCTCGCCTAGCCTTACGTGAATCCATTAAAAGTTGATCTTTTGCTAGTTTAATCTCTTAAAATGTTTCGCACCACGAGCAATTGTTGCATATCTGTCAATATATATATTTTTTTTTTCAATTATAATTATAATAATAAGTATTATGTTAAAGTAAGCAATTTGGCCACCTTCAAAATCCGCCTTATTTGCAGTGTAATACAAAACTTAAATTCTTTACAATTCAACATATTTTCCAGTTAAAATTTCTCTAAGCTATTACTAGGAGTTGAAAATAGTCTAAGGATTCTACGTAATTCAAGATTAAATCGAAACTTTGAATTGCATTTGATAGCATGCTTTGGCGAAGGAAAGAAATTGGCAACGATGAAAGAAACTAGGAAAAGAGAGAAGTTTCTTTCAAGCATCTTCAGTTGAGCTGCAATTAGCTACAGAAAATGCACAACAAATGTGTTCCTATGAAAAATTCCACGCTATTGCACTAGCGATTAGTGACTCAACAAACCTATTCTCTCGAAGATAAATATACTTTGTATGAATAATGGAAAAGCGTTGCTTGGGAACAAATTATTAAATTATTTTATTATAAATTATTTAGTCGTAAATTTATTAACAATTAGTTCTTAACGAGATCCAAATATGAACTGGGTCACATAGCCTCGCCTGGCTGTGCTATCCCCAAGACTGTTCAACTGGAGTTTACGGCCTTCCTTGGTAAGGCTATTTCATAAATGCATATATAGTATAAACAACTTAAGCAGCACATTTAGATTAATGAAATATATATAGTAACTATATTAAAATCAAGTCTATTTTGTTCTTTGGTCCTGGTATCAAATCGCTAACATTGCTGACTAAAGTCGACGGCTTTACCTCACATAAGAAAGACGGTGCTCGAATGCTCAAAGCAACTACTTGCGGAAGGCTTTATAATGGGAAATGATCAAGTATGACCATGGTAGAGGAATTCACTACTATTCCCGTTCATTAAATGCTGTAAATGGAGATAGGTAAATAGAGGACTATTCTTATAGAAGAGTTTCACTTAAAACCAAGTCAAGTGGGCTAAAAGCTTTCCGTATGCACAGACTTCCAGTTTATGAATAAAAATCCGTGAGCTAAGCATATTACACTGACTTTTTCTATATTTACATAAATCTCGCATCAATTCTTCAAGATGCCCTCGTGAATATACTATATATTTTTTGTATAATATTCAGATTGCCATGAAAACGTTCGCTTTGATCTGTTTCAGCGAAACTGCAAAAAATTGACAGAGCCAAAAGCGAGGCTTAAAGCAAGCAGCGAGAGATAAGTTAAGCCGGCTTAGACTGGTTTATTGGTTTGATTGCCGAAGAGCGCGAGCAAAAAATGGACAAACTCGATGAAGAGATAAACTGGGAGAGGTGGAGCTGACAGAGAGTGTGAGAGAGAGAGGGAGAGAGATAGAAAGATGGAAAAAGGAAAGCAGCGGACAGTCAGCTGAAGTTTGCTGTAATTAACAGTTGTTAAGCTTCAAGAAATTGTTTTACAAAAGGCTTATAAATATTATATTACACATACTTACCTCTCTATGTGTGTGTGTGTGTGTGTCGTAATAGGAAAAAAAAAAAACATATAGAATGGAAGAAGTCAAATAAATAAATGCTGCATATGCTAAAGCCAGTAAATAAAATCAAAATAAAAACTCATTTATCAGCACACACACAGACAGACACACACATACGCACACAGACAGACACTAGAGAATTGGCATCGATATGCGAAGTGGACAAATCTGTGTGTCGGCCAAGGGAAAAGGTCACAAAAGCAGGTTAAGCTGCTTTTTAAATAATACGCACAACACATTAATACACACACACACACACACACACACACACATCCACAGACAATCTCACAGGCACACACACACACATACATGCGCATGTATCATCGCCCAGCCGCTGGCACGTGCTGTCGCTGTCGCAGCCGAGCAACGACTGAGTCGCGACCGAGCCGCCGTCCTAGAGCCGAGCCCGCACCGAGCGCCAACGAAAGGCGGCACGAAGCGTGCGTCGCGGCACGACGAAGGCAGCGACAGTGCAGCGACAGCGCAACGAAGCCGAGCCGAGTGCCGACGCTGTTCGGCTGTTCGGCTGCGACGACTGCAATGACTTCGGCTGCTACTACTGCTGCTGCTGCTGCTGCTGCTGCTGTCTCTGTGCCAGTGCCTGCGTCTGTGTGTGCGTGCGTGCGTGTATGTGTGTGTCTGCCAGCAACATCGTAGCGTAATCCGTTCGCTTGGATTTTTTGAATTAGTTGCGTGTGGTAGCTTGTTGACAACAGAACCGGGCACCGGATGCGGATGCCAAAAAGAAAACTCTCTGAAACGAAACACGTGCGTGGCCAGACGAATCAGCAGCAACAGCAGCAGCGGCAGCAACAGCAGCAGCTGCAATCTAATGCAACTGCAACTGTAGTGTGATCTAGCTATAGTTGCTGTTGTCAGTGTCGCCGCAGCAGCAGCAATAATTTCTATTGAAATTGTGAATGTGGTGTAATCTAGCAGCAGCAGCAGCAATTGCAACTGCAACAGCAACAGCAACAGCAGCAGCAGCAATTGCAACTGCAACAGCAACAGCAGCAGCAGCAATATATGGTGTGATCTAACAATAATTCTTACAACAAGAGCAACAGCAGCATTAACGATTTATTTTGCCCAATGTGATCGAGCAATAGTTGCTATTGTGAATGTAGTGTGATCTAGCAATAATTGCTGTTGTGCCTGCAATGCTTGCTGCTCTGATTGCAGCAGCATTAGTGCACTTGCAGGCTGAGTCAACAACAACAGTTGCTGCTGTGCTGGCAACTGCAAGCAGAGCATGGACAAATGTTGTGCCTCATTGTTGACTGAGCTGACAGCAATAGTTGCTACTGTTGCAGTTGCTGTTGCTGTTCTGCTTAACACCTGCTTAGACTTATTTAAATATTTTGTTTGTTTGTTTGCTGTGCCACGTGGCACGTGTGTGTGTGTGTGTGTGTGTGTGCGTGTTTGTTTGACTGTTTTTTGCCAGCTGATTGGGCACTTTGTGGTGGCTGCTGCTGCTGCTGCTGATGTTGCCACTGCTGCTGCTGGTTGCGGCGGCAACAGTTGCTGCTGCACTGCGGCATCATTGTTTTTTTTTTTTGCGGTTGCCGTCGGGCTCAACGTTTAGCTAGTTTTGCGGTGCGCTTTTGCTGCGGTTGCCGGAGCTCAAACGACAACAACAACAACAACATCGACATCAACAACAACAACAACATCGAAGTGCAATCAAATAAACATCAAATTATTAAACACAAGAATTTTTTTCTGTTTTTGTTTCATGCTTTTCACAGCAATTAGCAGCAGCAGCAGCAGCAGCAGCAGCAGCAGCGAGCAACTAATTGCAACTAATTAAAAGTTTCTGATATATAAATACATATGTATATGCGAATGAAAATGGCAATGTTAATGCAAGTGTAAGCAAAACGAAGAAGTCGAAGAAGAGAAGGCGAAAAGAAAGCAAGATAGAAAGAAAGAAATAGTGTTTGTTGGTCAGTGTAAAAGTCGAGAGTGCTGCAACAACCAGTTGCAGCTGGAGCCAGACCGATGCATGTGGCGCACAGGTAAGTGCCGCGCAATGCCGCTTAACAACATGACCCAAGTGGCCAGCAAGTGGCATGCAACACTGCCAGCTCAAGGGCCGCATCCAAGTTGCCCCACTTCAAGCTAAAAAAAAAAAAATAAGTAAATAAATAAAATATATAGAAATAAGATAGAAGTTCCGCTCTCTAGCTCAATTCTCGACTCGACTCGAGTCGACTCGAGTCGACTCGACTGGAGGCAGAGACTGCTTCAAGTCCAGCCGTGAGTGCTCTCCCTGTCTACCCCCTCTCCCTCTCTCTCTCTCTCTCTCCTTCTGTCTATTTGGTTACAAAAATGATTTTCATATTCAGTTGACAACAAAAATTTGGTTACTTTTTCAATCGAAATACAAATATTGCGTATACGACCCAGATTCGAGTCGAGAGACTTGGATTGGGCTTTATTGGTGCCGAGCTTTGCTCTTTGATTTTGTCGGCCAGGCTAATGCATATGCTAGCTGTCTCTGATTTATTATTTGTTAAGTTTGATTTATTGCAAATATTTAACTGCATGAATTTGGTTTAGGCATTGATTTGCCACTCCACAAGATCCGGAGAATATTTTGTGGCCGAATTCAAGTTTATTTACGACTTGCAAAATTTAATATTGCGTATACGTAGATTAGTTATAGTGTATACATATAATATATTTTGTTCGAAAGTTTATATTATATGATATTTTTATATTTATTAAAATACGTTTTTTTTTTTTAATGTATTTTAATTAATATAAATTAAATAAAGAAATGGAGGAATATAAAAAATGATTATTATATTATATTTAGCTCCTTTCTACTGGGCAAATTGTCTGTAAAATTCAGGCACTTGTGAGAGGTTATACACGATATTAAATATTCTGAAATTATGTTAAAGTGATTGAAGAGAACATAAAATGTTACGTATTTTATATATGCACATACATATATGATGAATTTAGTATTGCTTTAATAGGTAATAATGATTAAACTCGGTATTTATTAGCGACGTATACGCAATATTTTGACTTTTATTCAATAATCATCAGTTGACACTTTTAATATGATTAATTTGCATTCTAATTAAGTCTTTTTTTTTTTTTTTTTTGCATGGCAAATTATTGATAGAAAATGTTTAAAATTTTATATATATGGCTAGAAAATGTTTAAATTTAAATTAAATTTTATTGCCAACATTTTCACGAATCTGCTGTGCTTTTTGAATTGAGTTGTCTTCTTCTACTCTCTATTAAATTCTAGTTAAGTACCGTTAACATTAGAGTCAAGTTAGTTAACTACAATGCCATCTCCTCCATTTCCTATTGGTCAACTAGAAGCGAAAATCGAATCAACAGCCGCCAGTTGCTAAGCCCGAGATTTGTGAGTCATTTATTCTATTTGCTTTCTAAACATACAAATTTGTGCTGTCTTAGCTATTTACACATTCATAAAAAATATATTACGTATACGTAATTTCTCAGAGAAACTTTCTTTAAGATATGTGTGACAATATATTTAAATTGCCTTGCAATTGCACCTAGTGGTTATGCTTTGAGGTGCTACTCAACGCTGACTCAACAATAATTATGACAATAAATAAGAAATACTAAGTATACGTAATATAAATAATATTGCTGCCTGACATAAACTTTTGTCAATTTAATAAATTTTAGTTTCAAAATTGAATTTTACTTTTAATTATATTCAAATTCTCATATATCTAAAACGCTTCTTGAACCTGGAGCGTCTGCCTTAGTGAGTACATATTACGTATACGCCCCAGAAAAATATTTGCCTAAATAAAATTTACTTTAAGCCATGCCGAACTTTCGGCAATGACATTTTAAATTTTACTTGATTTTATTTTTGAATATGAGAAACTTAATATTCATTTTTGATGCTTGGCCTTGCAAGGCTTTCTAAACTTAAACCAATGCAAATGCTTTTAAGTTTTTTTTTTTTTTTTTTTTTTTTTTTTCTTTTGTAAAGTTTTGCCATTTGCTGCAGTTGAATAGAGTGAAAAAATAATAAAAAAAGAAGAAACTTTTTCGACTCCAGCTAAGCTATACATGTTCAATGGTATCAATAAATGATTGATATGATGTGTAATATATTTATGTTCATATATTACTTCGACATTTTCCTTTTATTCTCATTGTATTTAACATATTTTATTCTGAGTGCAATGCAGCCTAAGCCCGGCTCTATGCCCAATACTTCTCCGACTCCTACGTGCTCGCATTAAATTTGAGATTTTGGGGCTAAAGAGAATTGTGCAGGTCTTGAAAACTGAGACAGACGGAGGGACGGATATGCAGAGGAATAAATGGACGATAGAATGTGCTGACTATGAAAGAGTCGGTGCTGTAGAGCAGGAGGATGTACTGTTAAATAGTCAGCTAAACCAACTATGGAACCCTTGGAGGATCAGAGGAAGAGACGGTTGGATAAGCAAATTGAAGAATGAGGATGACGAGCAGACGGACGGACTGATTACCTTGATAAGGCCAATAGGCACTATTCCTTCAATGTCAGTTAAATCAGTGTTGCATAATTGCAAGTTTTTGATAAACTCTGAGCTTTGAATTTTTGTCGAATTTCAGTTTTGGTGCAGAATTTACACTTTTTTGGGCTATGCTGAACAGTTAACCCAATCGCCTTTGCTTATGGGTTTGCTTTATTTATAATCAATTCATTTGTCCTCGTTAGATTCCAACTTTGATTCAATGGCCAATTGCGACAGCTCGTTTTGCTTGCCGAGCAGCAGCAGTGAGTCAGCCCCGCCCTTCTTCAGTGGGCACTTGAGTTGCAGTTGTTGTTGTTGTTGTTGCTGCTGCAGCTGCTGCTGCTGCTGCTGCTCTTGGTGCTGCTGCTCGAGCTCTTGATCATCGTCCTCGCTGCACATGAGCAGAGCGTAGTTGTGCTGCACGTCGGCATAGCTACTGGCGTTCTCCTCCTCCTGCTCCTCCTGCTCAGCGTCGGCCTCATCCTGCTCACTCTCGACATCTGAATCGTGATCGCAGCAGAGTATCTCGTGTGCGAGCAGCGCCACAGACTCATGGCTGGAGTCCTCCTGCTCGCTCTCCATGTCCGAGTCGCCATCGAGGCGGCTGTACTCGTATTCCACTAGCTGCTGCTCCAGTTCCTCCTCCTCCAGTTCCATCAGATCCAGCTGCTCGGCGCTGGACAAGTTAGGACAGATATCCGAATCGCTAAATACTACAGAGAAAGAGAGAATGAGTGAGAGAATGAGTGAGAGAGAGAGAGAGAGAGAGAGAGTATATGAGAGACGAGCTCAGCTGTGATCTGCTCTGAGATGTGACGCACTTTCGCTGAAATCGCTTTCGCTGCTCTCCTCATTGCTGTCAGTTTGCTCCAGTTGCTCCGATTCCGGCTCTGCCTCCGCCAGTAGATTTTCGTCATCCTCGTCAGTTTGCATAGCCGGCGATGGCAATAGCGCCGGCTTCGCCTTGTCCCCAGACATCGTTCGATTTGTGAATTGTGTGTTTGTTGTTCGATCGAGTCTCAGGCCCTACGAAACTTGAAATGTTTCTCTATGCATCCTATGTGCGTCACGTTTCACGTTTCACGCTTCGCATTGCCCCTACCCATATTTCTCATATTTTCCTCATTTCCTCCATTTCCCCAGGCGAATTAAATTTTATAGCAACTGCATTCGCATTCGCATTCGCATTCGAAGAGTCAGTCTCAGTCCCTGTCTCAGTCTCTGTCTCAGTCTGAGTCTCAGTCGCATTCGCATTCGCTTTATTCGCTTTATTCGCATTGCGCCTTTAAGAGGCGTCACCAGACGTTGGCCAAAACATGCCAATTGGCAGCTAGCACGACCGACAGACCACAGCACAGCAACAACAGTAGCTGCACGCCACGCCCCCACCCCTCCTCCTGCACTACTCACTGCACCTTTTCGTGCACACACACACACACACACACACACACACACACACACACACACGCAGAGTCGCACACCCAGCAGGCAGAGCTACATTTGGTGTAACGAGTAAATTTCTTTAGCTCTACGAAATGCAACAAATAAAACAAGTTTTATTCGAGCAGCAGAAATATCGAAATACCCTGTAACTAAGATTGCAGAAATATGTGTGTGACCTGTATATGTAGTACATTCCTCATACAATATGTACGAATTGTATATACCCTATACGCCTATACTCTCTCATAAACTTGCCAGACTTCTATATACCTCGTAATAAATTTGATAGCTGTAAAATATACAAAATATACTAATAGTCCCTGACCAACATATGCTCACAACAAAACTCTTAAAGATGGCTTTTAGCATAATGTTATCACGCTTGAGCATACCCTGTAAAAATTTTCAAAGAAACTGAATTACATTTCTAAATTATTTGACCCTGAATTACCCTAGCAAAAGCATTCGCAACGATTGCACGCACACTTTTACACACAAATACCCTGTAAAGTGCATAATACCCTATAACAAGCTATAAGCTCATTGAAATGAACAAGTACACCAGCGAGAAGGCACCATACCCTGTAGCCATGCCTGTAGGCAGCGGCACTGCTACTTTCAGAAATACAGGGTATCTGCAGCTATCAACAATAAATAGAAACTACAAATTGTTAACGTCTCTTCTTATATCATTATTTTTTTTTAGTTTCCCTTGCGTCTGCGCTGCTCATTCGACTGCGGCATTTTACAGGGTATACTAGCTAGGGTCTGCCGCATCAAGCATTCGACTGCAGCTACCGCTTATCATGGAGCACTGCGTCCACTACTTATCATTCTCATCTGGTCGACTTCTGACCCCGGGGCCGTGTTGCAGCTGCCCCTCTCTCGCACACTCTCTCTTGCTCTTGCTCTCTCGCTGTCTCGCTCATTCTGTTTGTTGCAACAGAATTTCATTTTCGGCCCGTTTAGCATTTGGCATTTTGGCATTCTTTATGCTGTCGCAATCCTTCCGCTTTTGCTTCCAGCTAACAGCTTCTGCTGCTTCTTTTCCTTTTGGTTGGTTTTTCGGTTGCAGTTGGGTTTTGCCATTGTCACCCACACACACACACGCACACATGAATACACACACGTTGTAATAAACCGTATTTCACTTTGGGCTGCAATCTCTCTCTCCCTCTCTCTCTCTCTCTGTTTCTCTTCATTTATGCCTCTATTTCTCGCTCGCTCTCGGTCTCTTCTGCTCTCCCCCCTCTCTCACTCTCTCTCACTCTCTCTCTCTCTCTCTCTTTCTCTCTAATTACACACCAAATTTACTACAAACGAGCAATAAAAATCATTCAAGCAAAATCTCTGCGCTAACCACGTAACCAGACCCCATTTCCACTTATAGCCAGCTCTCGGCTCTTCCTCACGTCTCCTGCTCCCACATTCTTTACCCCTTTTTTCGCTCACTTGGCATGCAAATGCTTTTTTTCTCACGCACACACACACACACACACACGAAAAACATTAACAACAATGACAATAAATGAAGAACATTAACGCTAAGCGTTTCTCTCAGCTCGCTTCTCTGCCTCCCTACCTCGCTCCCTCCCTGTCTCCTTCTCTTCCCGTCTCGCTCACACACCCATCTGTCTGTGTGTGCTGGCAAAAATTGTAGCTCAGCCTTTAATCAAGTGCCACGCCCACAGGCGAGCAGCCCTCGCTGTCTCGCTGTGGGCGTTCGCCATTCAATGAAATAATATTTAAACAATTAAACACTTTGTACACTGAGCGAAAACGGGGCTGTAAAATGTGACTGGGCGAAGCACGAGCCATAGCCATCAAGTGTCGCCCTAAGTAGCCCCAAGTAGTTCCCATGCTAATGAGGCAGACAGAGAGGGAGAGAGAGATGGATGAACTTCTCCCACTCTTTAGCCATATCAATTCATTTTAATTAAGGCTAAGCCAGTGGCTTGTTTGTCTCAGTGTATCTCTGGCATACTTGTGCCTAAGCTGCATGCCAACATCAAGAATGCCAGGAGATGCCAGTGCGATTAGCTAACAATGGAAACGAAGGAAGTTGCAGAGCGGAACTGAGAAGTGAGATGTGAAGGGCTCTTGAAGACATTCCACGTATTCCTCTTAAAAAAGATATACCTATTTATATATATGATGTGAGGTAAATGAGCATCTGAATACGTAGGAAAGATTTATGAAGGATCACAAGTGTAGAAGCAAGAGAAAGATGAGCCGGAAGGAGGGTGAAGCAGAAGGTGAGTGGGAGAGAAATCAGCAGCTAATAAGGGGAATAGACGAAACTGAATGGAGAGATGGAGTGAAGAGAGGGAAAATGATAAGTGAGAACGAGAAAAGATCGGAAATATAGAGAGAGAGAAACAGAGAGGGGAAGCAAAAGACAGAGAGGAGCAGAGAGTGACAGAGAGGGGGAAAGAGACCGAAAAGAGGAGAGATGAAAGGGAAAATTAGAAATGGATCGGGTTTTTTGCTAAGAAAGAGCGAGAGATTGAGAGAAAGAGAGAGAGAGAGAAACGGATAAAGATGAAAGGAAGGAATAGCGAGGGAGAAAGTGAGAACATTTGAGAGAGAATGGAGATGAAGAAGATGATAGATCGAGAGAGAGAGAGATAAAGATGCATATAGATAAGGAGATATGGTGGGAAGTGTACATATGTACACGATATATAAAGAGAGAGAGAGAGAGAGAGAGAGAGAGAGGAGGAGAGAGAGAGAGAGAGGAGGGAGAGAGAGAGAGAGGAGGAGAGAGAGAGAGAGGAGGAGAGAGAGAGAGAGAGGAGAGAGAGAGAGAGAGAGAGGAGGAGAGAGAGATAGTGAGAGAAGAATTGAGCTAGTGATACGTAGAAAACAGAGGTATAAAGATCAAAATAGACTGAAAGAACGATAAGGAATATAGAAGATGAAAATATATAAATAGAGAGATAAAGTAATACTCATACATATACAGTGTTTAACATTGAAATTCATTTTGTTTTCATATACAGATAAAGGGAGATTACATTTATCATAGGAGCCTGCCATCAGTCCACTTTCACATATTTCTAGCCTCACTTCACAGCAATGAGCGAACCATTTTAAAATATTTATACATCAAATCAACTATCCTTTTGTGTAACTGCATATTCGCACATAGCTCACTTTAAATAGCTCTACAGCTCTCCCACTTCTACTCTCTCTCTCTCTCTCTCTCTCTCTCTCTCTCTCTCTCTCCTCTGCCTGCCCACAGGCACACACATTGCAAAATATTTAATTTGAGTTTCTAGCTGCGGTCCGGCATTTGGTTTTTCCATTCGCTGCCACAAGAACTCCCTAATAAATATATGAGCATTATTATGAAGCCATTTCCGCCACTTCCTAACAGCCCACATTAACTGCCCTCCCACTTCCTGTCCCGCTCTCTCGCTGTCTCGCTCCCGCTCTGCAGCTAGCTAGCTTCCCTTTGTCCCTTCGTGCCACGTAAAAATGTAAAAATATCATTATAATGAATTTGTTTAGCTGGGGCAAAAGTCAATGTTGTGCACGTCGCAGCCCTTTGCTCTATCTCCGACTCCAACTCCAACTCCGAGTCTGACTGCGACTGTATTATTTGATGTTTTACTGTCTATCCTTTGCCACAGTCGCCCCCCCTCGCTCGCCACCATCCGCTTTTCATTTCGTCTGTCTGCCGCGCTTCAAGCTGCGGAGTTCACTTCACTTAAACTGCCGCTGCGAGTGGCGCAAATTTTACGCGACATAATCGTAATATGATTATCGTGCCACATAATCTCCCACTTGCAGTGCCCCCCACCCACACACACACACACCCACACACACGCACATAGAGAGACGGAGTCGCTTCGCATCTAATGCCTGTTGCCTGCCTTAACCCGACTCTCTCTCCCTCTCTCTCTCTCTTGCTGCGTCTGTGTGGGTATGTGTTAAATAATTTCCTTCCGTTTCCGCCGCTTGACAGTTGACAAGCAGCCGTCCTGCCGCCACCCTCCTCCTGCTTCCTGTTCATATATCCGTTTCCGCTAGAGCCAAATGACACCGCAGAAAATGTGTTCCCCAAATCTCATATCATCATTTACGCAGTCATTTTTAGGCAGCTGCCCAGGCGAGACTCGACCTCCCTCCCCTCCACTCACCCCACCCTCTCGCCCACTCACTGTCGCCCTATTCAAAGTCAGCTCGTGCCATGCCCCCGCCAGCGCCGCCGCCGCCGCCTCCTGTCTGCCCTGCCCTGCCACTTCGGTTCGCAATTGACATCATAAACAAAGCTTCCACAGCTTGCAACTCATGCGAGTCACACAACTTGCAACAACAACAACAGCAACAAGAGCAAGAGCAACACGACAGCGCGTGTGGCACGTAGCCTCTGCCCGTCCATGGCTGTTTGCTCTCAGCCACGCCCCCACTTGCCCGCTCGCCCGTTCGCCGGCTCCGGCTGCCCTTTTTGCTTTCTGCTCGGCGAGTGTCCTTATTTTAATCTCGACACAAGTTAACGGCATTGTTGGCAGCGCCGTGAGCTCTGCTTTCTGCACATCAACATATAATGTACTGTCCCCCCCCCCACCGCCCCCTCCTTCCGGAACCACCGCCTCCTGCCCCT